ACACAGCATCGCACTTTAGAGGTACGCCACCTAATACCAAACTTAGCTCTGTGTTGAGGACATATTGTCATCGACATATGCGTCTGTTCTACTTTAAAAATCCCTTTAAATACAAAGAAATAATAATTGTCTGGATAAGTAACAATAGTAGGACAATTGGGATAAGATATTGCAAGAAAAACCTACCAGCTCGTGCGAGTAAAAGTTTCATTTCATTGTCAAGAGCAGTGTCTTCGCTAATTCCACAAAGTTTTAGATGACCAGACACATCTTTGTTGCATTTTGACAGAGGTATATATTGGTGTTCATTAGGGTAGTCTGGGCTCACTCCASATGAAGATTTCTGAAATTTGTCGTCCAAGATGGTAGCAAAGCGACATACCGACATCTCGAACTCAAAGTTGATTACATAGAGAGCATGTGACGAAATCGAAGCATGAATAAATGCGAATACTTTACCAGTGAATAAATTAAACACTCAGACCGAGCAATAGTTTCGGCTTGCGTAAATGGTCTGGCGCTTTCTGGGTGGTAAATCCCTAATTAGTAAGTGTCAGATTTCATCTAACTGGAGACAGGTGCTACAAATAGCCGACTTGCGAATTACGCATCAATAGTCACATACAAAGGAATCAAGACGAGGCGCCGTGCTTTTTTGTGAAAAATCTATTGTCTTTAGCACGGCGCCTCGTCTTGATTCCTTTGTATGTGACTATTGATGCGTAATTCGCAAGTCGGCTATTGGCTAATGGATTAAGATAATAACTGAGTTAATTTGTTTTTTTTTTTATTTATTTAAGATAGTCTCTAGCTAAAAAACTATAATATAAACTATATATACATGGGAACAAAAATCAAATATTACGGTAAGTGAGATGAAATTGTCTTAATGAATCAGATGTAAATTTTATTATCGATGACGCTGATATCACGGCAAACCAACATTAATTGTAAATTAAGTAAAAATCATACATCTTCTTCTGTAAAATTTATAAAAACAGACTAAAATACTTCAAACGTAGTGGAGTGGAGTTCTTTTCAATGATTAAGTGCTTGTTTATGTTTAAAAAATTGCTTTCAACAGAATCTTGCGTGACACTCAATCTGCATAAATTAGCATCAAAAATGTAAACATGGTCGGACAAAATATGTTGCCATTAAACGGCATTTTAATTCGCAAGCACCAAAATTTTTCCACGGATTAAGGAAAGGATATGCTTTACTGTGATATGAATTTCAAAACCAAAATGGACATACCAGGAACATATTTTGGAGGCTGAAAATTGACTAAATTCGACCATTTTGGAAAACGCGAAAAAGTACAACCTAAAATTAGTAGAAACGACTAGATGCCCTGTGAATTATTAAAACCTTTTTACATTTTCTTACACTCTAGATATCAGCCTAGATTGGTGTGAGGTATGAGCGTCGTTGGAGTTTTCAAGCGAGTTTAACGATACCTGAAAGTTGGACCATAATCGACCTTCAAAAACGCGTAAAAACCGGGTTTTCGAACTTTTCGGAATTTCTAGAAAACTAAAGCGCTCCGGGATCTTTAAATGTGATTTTCTGAAACAGCTCCCGTAATGGGTTTTTTAGGTTAAATAAAAAAAGTTTCGATTTTTCCCAACTGATTTCGGATTCTCGACCGTCTCTGATTTTCGCTCTTAAAGATGACACGAGCATAAATAGACAAGATTCACATAATCAGCTGCTAGCTATGGTTACAAAGTCAACAGACATCTTTGAAACTACTTATACAAAGATGGAGATTGAACTTCTATTTCAAGCATATGGTTTAAAATATTGCAACAGCTGGACTAAAACCCGCCTCAACCCAGTMCTGGTAGATGCCATCAAAGCTGCAACACAGTTTGTAAATTCTAGCGTATTTTCTAGTTAATAACGAGAAGTTTGCAGCAACATCATTTAGTAATGCTAAATTTGATGGAGTGGTAGTGCTTACACTTATTTGACCTAAATCGTCTAAATCTCCTGATTTAGACGGTACAACCTTTGCTTACAACCATGAATRAGTATGTAAGTAAAATATAGGAGAATCAAAACAGCTCAAGGGGACTTTTTAGGGTACATGAAAAATTGTGAGAACTACAACTCTTGTCATGATTTCTTTTTGTCTGTCTTGAAATTCCATATCAGTCTTTGTTGAATTAAGAGGACTATGTGCCCTTATGGTATTGCACTGTGTGTTCTAAAAGAGGTCGGTATAACCTTAAAGCTTGTGTGGCTTAATTAAGTCTGTGTGACTTCAGGGTCTGTGTGACCTTAAAGCCTGTGTGGCTTAATAGTCTGTGTGACTTCAGGGTCTGTGTGACCTTAAAGCCTGTGTGGCTGTTTAGTGGGTACTCTTATGATTCATATTGTCATTAATGCTTGGTAGAATTCAGGCATTTAAATTCAACCTATTTTCATTGTTTTCTTATCAGATATTCCAGATCTACTTCTGTCACAATCAAGGCACATTGATGCATTTTGTGGATGAGCATTTAGACAGGTATTTGTGAAACCATTTCATCATTTATATTGTTCTTTATTTCGTTTTAACAATCTGAATTGCTTCAATGTTTGCAGGTGATGGCTTGGGCATGGAAATTCCCTTGATAATTCAGTCATTTCGTGAAACAATGGCACCATACAAACAGTTATATTTGATGAATATTTAATGAAGACGACGTACGTTACCGCTGATAATTTTTATCGCAAGATATTCAATCAATTTTTCAAAAACATGAAAATGTAAAGTATTAAATAAAGTTTGATTAGCTGTATACAGAACTCGAGAGCGTGTTGTATCGGGGCTAAAGAGATCCGGATCTATTTAAAACGTGATACAACACGCTCTCTCGTTCTGTATACATTACTTCTCAAAGTTTTTTTTGCTTCGTCAATATTATTCAAGAATGCTGCCACTGAAAATGAAAAAAAAGTAATGAAGTAAAATCAACGAATAATTTAGAGTGAATGTTTACATACTCCTTTCTTCCTTGGTACCCCTATTGGAAGGGGTAGGACATGCCAAAGAGGCATGCCCCACCCCTCCGCAATTAGTACAGGTGGTAGGATCTACAAAGGATAAAAAAAGCAATTATAAATTGACCAGCTTGCTTTGGGTGAGAATGCCATTTGAACTGTACCTCTCATCAGTCGGATGTCATCGCGGGAGGGGCACCTACAACAAAAAACAAAGATAGCTTTATTTGAGATCTAACTATTAGAGAATGGATGCCGCATGATTAAGTTAGGAATTTTAGCATACTTGCTGGCGGTGTGCCCCCGTCCCCCACACACGTAGCATTTTCTTCTTTCTATACAAACATTTAATAATGTCAGTCAACAAATCTACAGACTTCAAGTCATCATGCACTCAGTATACTTACTGTATGGGCGTTGGCCTGTTGTGGGATGGTCTATTGTGAAAATGAAAATGATCAAAATTATTAAAATATTCTTTGACTTATTAAAATGAGAAGTGGAAATGATTGGTCTGCGTCATTGCTCAGTTCATATTTTTTTTAGCTCTGACACAAATTGATAAGAACAAACTCTGAATGTGTGCAATACTTTGCACTATCTATGACTACTAAATATTCAATTCAATTCAATTTTTATTTTACACACATATATACTTATTTTACAAGGAATATTATTAATCTATTAAAGATGATTATGGGGAATTACATGTTTGTTATTGGAAAAAGTGTGCAGTGGCTAAAGGAGCTTAGCTTTCGAGTTAGCCACTGCCTATTGAAAGCGAGCTTAGGGCTCTTATTAAATAAAATACAAACATTAGATTTAACAAAAATAATCACATGATATATATTATAAATTTCTTCAGGAATATAAATATACTAAAGAAAATAAAGAGGGTCTTACTTAAAAAAATATTTACAAATATTACAATTTTTGCAATTTCATTTATGGACTGATTAACCAATTTTGAAATAGTCAACTAGTCCATATCAATATATAAGGAGGAGGAGACTATTTTTGATAGCTTAGTAAATGTTGTTTAAATTTCTTGCTAAAGTTTGAGTAAGATAGCTGCTTGAGGTGAGTGGGAATGGTTTCCCAGGTTTTGGACAATGAGAATTTGAATGTGGCTCTACCATAACTTGTTTTAATTTGTGGTCTAAAGAAGTTGAAATAACAAGCTAGACGTGTATTGTAATTGTGAATTTCTGAGAGGCATTACCCCAAGACAGAATACCATATGTCAGATAGGGATATATTAAGGTGTAATAAAGCTGTTTCAGCATGGGTGATTTTAAGTAATTCCTAGTTTTATAAATTATGCCTACATTTTTTGAAATCTTGCCTAGTACGTGATTTATCTGTTGATCCCAAGCAAGGTTTTTGTCAATATATACACCAAGTARCTTGATGTGGTCTTTTTCAGTTATATTTGGGATATTGATATCTAGTGTTTTCTTATGATATGATTTTATAATCATGTAGTGAATTTTTCAAAGTTTACCGTGAGTTTATTAGCTGAACAGTAGTCAAGCAAGCTTTTGAACTCAGCATTCATAACCACGTTTAATTCGTTGGAGCTTTTAGAAGAGAAAAAGACAGTAATGTCATCGGCAAATGATCTGAAGGAAAGTTTATCAGAACAATTATATATGTCATTTATATATAGTAGAAATAAAAGGGGTCAAAGAGTGGATCCTTGTGGAATTCCACATGTARTTTGCAACCTATTTGATTTATAGGTATCAATAATGACATATTGTAAACGGTTGTGGAGTTACTAAACCATTCCATAGCTTTCCCTCTAATCCCATAATGGAATAGTTTTTTTTAATAGCATTTCGTGGTTGACAGTATCAAAAGCTTTTCGGAGATCTAGAAATATACCACAAGTAATCAGGCCATTGTCAATATTGGCTTTTAGTGGGTCAGATAATTCAAGARTTGCATGTTCAGTTGAATAATTTTTCCGAAATCCAAATTGATAATTATTCAGTATATTATGCTTATTGATAAAAGAAGAAATTTGGTTATATACCAGTCGTTCAAAGATTTTTGCAAAGGGAGATAATACAGATATAGGTCTATAATTGCTGGGGTCTGTTGCTGGTCCACATTTGTAAACAGGGGTTATTCTAGATATTTTCAAAATGTCAGGAACAATACCTGTGATAATAGATTCATTATAGATCTGTGCCAGTGGAATAGAGAGTGGCTGACTTGCCATACTTAATAATTTATTAGGAATATCAGTTGATATTTTTTCTTATTTAATGTTGCCAGCAACTGCTGAATCTCATGGCACGAAATAGGAGGTGATAGTGTGTTGGAGAGAAAATTACTATATGAAAGATTAGGTTGAGTTATTGAATTAGCAAGATTGGGG